CTCTCTCTCTCTCTCTCTCTCTCTGTCTCTCTCTCTCTGTCCCTCTCTCTCTCTCTCTCTCTCTCTCTCTCTGAGGGAAAGCAGAAGGGGGGACGGGCGGCAGAGGAGCGGAGACTGGCAGACATCGCAGGACACGTGGAGGAGTGGTGGAGAGCGGAGGAGGGGCGGCGGAAGTCAGGGGGAGAGGGCGGAGGAAGCAGGGAGAAGTGTACTGATCTGTGTCTGCCATCTTTGACCGGCGTTCAGGCGTTGTTGATGCAGAACTCCGAACGGCCAAACACAGGCGAGCGAGCGCGAGAGAGCCACAGCCTACAGCGCCAACGGCGAACCGCAGTCGAGAGAGAGAGAGAGAGAGAGAGAGAGAGAGAGAGAGAGAGAGAGAGAGAGAGAGAGAGAGAGAGAGAGAGAGAGCTTCACGACATGGCACTTCACAACCGGGCGCACGGCGCGCTTCACGACAACAGCAGAAGCACGACAACACCGAATACAGCGGACCAAGGGCGCTGCACAACAATGCCCAGTCCAACGGGAAAGTTGGGTTGGCCCGACGTCGTGAACTCCGGAAGTACCCCATGGCACTCAGCGCGTCTATCTGAGCCATCGGTCCGGACCGACGGCCTGGATCTCGGGGTGGTCCTAAGATCTTAAGACCACATCTATCCAGGCCGTCGGTCTGGAAGGACCCGACAGCCCAGATGGCAGATTTGTTACATGGTTCGGTCGATCTGGAACGTGGGCCGGTAGGACCGACGACGGCCCGGATTTGAGATTTGTCAAGTTAGCGATTTTAATAGTGTTGGGATGTCAACGGAGTTAATGATACTTGCTATCAATTTGAACTTTATAATAGTATCTATGTTCTCAATAGTAATATTCAATATACAATCAATGTATGAATAGAAAAAAACTTCTCTGCAATACACTTATTCCTATTTTTTCCCAATGAATTTAATTTTAAAAAAGAACGAGCTTAAACAAGGATTATATCCTTTATCAAGAGTAAGATAGATGGATTCGTACGAATGAAATCATAACAACACCAAATGAACACTGTTTGAGCAAGCAGCCGTAAACACTCACCTGGAACAACATCCAATGGCACCCTCACTGACTCAATTTTGACATCTCGAAGGTTTTCAAAGCACCCATCCAGCAATTTCTGTAACAACCAGCTCAAGAATCACAGCACACACATTGCAGTTATGATTGGCTCCTATCACAGTAAATGCATGTCTGCATGTAAGGAACAGCTGAAACAACTAATGACAGCATCAGGTATTATTGTCTGCGGTCATGTGCTCACCCTCCTTCCCGCTCTCTCTCACGCACGCACACACTTGCAAACACACACTCAATCTTGACATCTGGAAGATTTTCAAAGCACCAGAGAGAGAGGCGGCAAAGGGGGGGGGAGGGAGATAGATAGATAGATAGAGAGATAGAGAGAGAGAGAGAGATAGATAGATAGATAGATAGATAGATAGATAGATAGATAGAGATAGATAGATAGATAGAGAGAGAGAGAGAGAGAGAGAGAGAGAGAGAGAGAGAGAGAGAGAGAGAGAGAGAGAGAGAGAGAGGCACGCAAACGTTCTGGGCCCAGGCCCCCAGCAAGCCTCTTGGCCGCCCTACGTGAAGGCGGGCCTGAATATTCACGTGGGGCCTATTTTGGACATTTTTCGTATGTCGTTTATCAGACAGTTGCAGCACGCCAGGTTGTTACAGAGCAACATGAGCCTTCTTGGCTCTTTCCAGAAGCAGCAGCTGCGTTTTACAGTTCAGCCCAGGGCTCATTCCGTTGAGGCCCTGGGCATAGGCATCCAGAGGCCGACAAGTCACGTAGCGGCCTCGGCCCGATGAGAAAGCAGCACGGCCACGGGCCAATGAGAAAGCAGCACCACCACGGGCCAATGAGAAAGCAGCACAGTCGTCAAACACATGCCGCGAGCCAATGAGATCGCAGGAAACACTTGGAGCCTGGACGACGGGCGCACTGGATGCTGCGGGCTGATTCTACTGTCTGAAGTGCCCAGGGCGCAGACACTTTGGCCCAACGTGAAGCTACTGGGCCCCAGCCCAGCAGGCCAAGCAGAGGCCAAAGCAGGGCACACTTTCCATGAAGGAAAGTGCCTGCCCCAGCCTACGGGATTCTGGCCTGGGCAGGCAATGCAGCCACGCTGTTGCTTTGCCTTGTGGTAGCTGCGCTACGCAGGCAGGCTGGACGCGCACACAGGCGCAAGAGGTGAGAGAGGGCGCTGCACGTGCGGAGGCGGGTGGTGGCGATGGTGGTCTTCGGGTAGGTGGCGCATGTAGAGGGGAGACAGGGGGTGATGAGGAGGGGAGAGATAACTTGCCTGGTGTATGCTGGTGGTCTGCATTGGTGACGACTTCACATACATTGGTCTTCACCTTCGATGTGCTCCTGTTGCATGAACGTAGATAGGCTAGGTGGGCTGAGTAGTGTAGGCTGGGCGCTGGGCGCCAGACAGTAGGAGCGACATTGGATACTATGTTAGTGTGGCCAGAGAGCGTCAGCCTTGACATTTGAGTTCATTGTATTGCTCTTATTTGGATGGTATCTTGGTGCATTGTGCTCTCTGCTTGGTACATAACTATCTGGACTACTTCATGATTTTGCAATTTGGATTTGTCTCTCGCTCTCACTCATATTCCTTGCAGAGCCTGAAAGACTTCAAAGGGAATGAGCCACAACCATGTTTTGGATATATGCACTTTCCTCAAAGTGAAACTAACTTTAGGATTAATGCTATTCTAAGAGGATTGAACGAGTGGTTCCGACATGCACAGAACAGACGCCGTATCAAAAATCTTTTTTTGAATTCCGGACCTGCCGGACCGGGCTCCGGAAGTCTGGATCGTAACCATGGTTGACATTGTTAGATCAGGAGCGAGGCTCCCTAACTCGAGATCTGAGTTTCATTGATTAAGGGCACACCAGAGGTGAGGAGATTCAGGTGGAGGGAAGACTACGAATATCTAGCACTGCTGTACATTTCCTTTTGTTTTTCTTCTTCTTCTTTTTCTGCTGCTGCTGCTGCTGCTGCTGCTGCTGTCTCTTCTTCTGTGTCTGGTTCTGCTTCTATTTCCGCTGCTGCTGTTGCTTGTGCTGCTACCGCTTCTGCTAGGTCGTGGGGGAGGAGAGGCATTGGGTTATTCCCTGTTCTATTCTATTGTGTGCACATCTATGAGTGCTTTGAGTTGCGACACGATCTGACTTACCCTGCACCAGCGCAGTCGACTATCTCTCTTGCATTACACTGTTCTCGTTCCAGGACCTTGGCGCCCAGCAACACAGCAGCACCTCTGTATCAGCCAGAATCGAAGAAGAGGAGGTTCCTGACATTGGCCTCCCTTTTGCGCCTGTGCCTCTGCCTCCGACATGATTCCGGGACTCTTCTGCCTGGTCGTGCCACAGCTGATGGAGATTGACACAACAGCTGGATCCACACTATTTGAACACACACACAACTTGATTACAACTTGAAATGATTTACACAGGTTTCCCAAGACCGCGTCTATGGCCGCCAGCACAACAACAACAAGTTTCTCTCTGTGTCTACCCTCTATCTCTCTCCCTACTACTACTACTGATTACTTCACCCAGGTCATGCGATCACTCTCTGAATGTCCTTGCTGCTCTCTCTCTCTCTCTCTCTCTCTCTCTCTCTCTCTCTCTCTCTCTCTCTCTCTCTCTCTCTCTCNCAGCTATGGCGGCCAGCACAGTCGACTCTCTCTCTTGCCCTACACTGTTCAGGTTCCAAGATCTTGGGGCCCAGCAACACAGCAGCACTTCCGTATCTGCCAGAATCGACGAAGAGGAGGTTCCTGATGTTGGCCTCCCTTTTGTACCTGTGCCTCTGCCTCCCCCCTGATTCCGGACTCTTCGGCCAGGCGCTGCCACGACACACAGAGACTCTGTCATGGGCTTTCCCTGGGACTGAGCTGCAAAGGGACCAGGACTGTGTTTATTAAACTCAGAGTCTCGAATTGTCAGGATAACTTCAGTACCACAGAGCGCTGCTCGTTTCTGGAGACTCCCTACCTATCGACTTCTAGGACCCTCTACTGTTCCTACTGGTCTTATCCTACCAGATCTCCATTTTGTGCTGCACAGTACCTACCCAGAAGTTTTATTTCAGCCCTAAGGTATGAAAGAAAATGGGTTTCCCCCGGGGCCGTACTGCAAGAGTGCACAAATCCTTTCACTCCCTTCGGCCTAAATTCGAGGTCCTGCGGTAGTACTATTTTTATTAGCTGGGGCTGTTTTGTGAAATCAGCAATGCATATAAAGCTAGACGAATTTGGCAGAGGTGGTTTGCCATGAGCTACTCTCATTAGCTAGAAGCCGAGATGCTTGTCAAGACTTTGCTTAAGAAATGGTTCATCAGGTTGAAATGACGATGGCAGCATGAGGAGCAGCTACCTATCAAACTCCGCCATCCCCTTGCGTGCTTGCTCATAATGCGAGACTTCGCAAGGTGTGGTTTGCAGTTGCTCTTTCGGGAACCACTTATCCTCGTGGTGCGCCAGACAGGCTCTCCCAAGGATTGAATTTGCTATGGACCGGTCCAGTTGGCGTTAGCACCAGCAAAAGCGTGGGTGCACCACAGCTTTTCGCTGGTCCATGCAGGCTCGGCGCCCTGCTGTACAGCAGAACACTACCAGCTTGTGGCCGTGGTGTCCGCCGCGCTCGCTCAAGGATGCGGAGGAAGCACGACCGGCTCGGACTTTTTTTTTTTTTGGTTGTGCACCAAGTAACTCCTAGCCGGGTTATGGGAAACATACGGGACAACGATTATAATCGTAAAGAAAAGGAAAAGGAGATGAAAAATTATGAAATGGGAAAGAAATAGCGACGTTTCAGATTGTGGTCCTCGCTCAGTTAGAAAGGTCTGAAAAGACCGCAGCACTACACTTCTTTTTCATTTTCTTTTTCCATCTGTTGTTGTCTTTTCAGACTTAGTTCTCTTTCTGCCTTTCTGCGGGGGAACAAATGGTTCGCTTTCGAACTGTAGTTGCGAATGAGTGGCTTAGGTTGGCTTGGCCTCCCACGCTTCGCTTACCGTAGACATGATTAGCTAAGTACCGCGCCGTGGGATGCCAAAATGGGAGCACGCGCGCCCGCGTTGGTAGGGAGCTTATCACCTCCCATGGAAGGTCATAAGCCCCCTCCTTGCCATCGGACACAGGTACCCATCAGGGGTAAACCAACAGCACGTTATGAGGAGAGGGAAGCGCAGGTCGGTATCCCGTTATGGGACCACTATGTCGAACCTGCAATCATTTCATACAACAGATGAAAGGACCAGTGACTGGTAGCGAAGTCAGCCTCTGGTGTTGCGACCGTTGAGGTTCGACCTCTCGTTTTCTCTTTTTTTACTTATTTTATCTAACTTCATTATTTTTCGGATTTACAGATAGCTAAAATGTTGGACTCAGAAAGTTACCTGAAATCTCCTGCTCAGAGCACGGGGTTGCAGTCTGCGGCGAACCTATGAAGAGTGAGGGAGGCAAACATTCGGCTACTTGGACTTAGGCAGTCCTGTTACGCCGAGCACGGGTGAGCTGAAGAGGGAGGACCGAGCGGCGAGGTGTGCGCACGAGTTTGTCTGCGTGCGCATGCCCTGAGTGTTTAGTTTTGGCTATTTCAGAGCTGGCAGCCTGGTACTGTATATGGTCTAAAAGGCTCAACTATGGTGCGCAGCAACGGTCTATATGGGTACAGGCCAAGATACCTCCAGTTCCTCTGGAGGTGGGAGCGAATGTCGGGAGAAGGCCCGATGGTGACTGCCGTTCTGGACTACAGCCGCTGCAATCAGGAGGTCAGGCTGAAAATAGACGTGGAAGGAGGGAAGGAAGAAGAAATGAGGGCGTACCCGGGACTACAGGCGGCCATCACAGAGGCCAAGGACCGTGCCAAGAGGAGGTGTAGACGAGACGGGATCACGGACAAGATCAAGGTGATTGTCTCGTACCTGGAGGGAGAGACCTCGACGGACACTGCAGAGAGGGAACAGTTGCACCTAAACCGCGACACAAAAGCAGAGAGTGAGGAGAGTGACCGGGAAGTCCGGACCCAGTCCTGGCATGGACTGGACCAGTGGAAGCGGGATCACCCGCCCGCGGAACCTGTGGAAA